CCCCCCACAGTCATGAGTGTAGACTTAAAGTCATAACTACTACACTTGAAAAAAATAAGGCGCTGATAACAAGGGCTCAAGTAGAAAGAAAATGTTTTGAGAGTTATGATGGCAACAAATGTACAAAAGCGCTTGACACAATGGATGGATGGATGGATTGTGATAAGAGCTATATGAACCCCCAATAAAATTATTTTAAAAAATAACTACTCTCCTTGATAACAGAAATATTGTGGTAATTGGAGGATTTTATGTCAACTTGAATTTGTATGAAAGTGTAGGCGTAGATGACAACCTGCTAATCAGGCCACAGCCTGATGACGCCTTCTTTGGGAGTAGTCTTTTCATAAAAGAGAAACTGAGCATGTCCTTTGTCTTTGACCTTGCTGGGACTCTGTGTCAGCCTCCAGGCTGTGTGGCTCCATGTGGGCTTTCTGACCCTGAGAGCTGTCCCCACCCTGCCATGTTTCCACCAAACTTGTATCCACTCGATTGTGCACCCACCAACCTGTGATCTCTCTACAAACAGATTCACCTTTCGGCCTCATTGGCCTATAGCTCTATGTGTCTGAAGAGGGTCCAGGCTAGCATCAGACTGACAGACCTGAGTTGAATTGGGCTGGGATGCCTTCTTGATGTAAGATTGCTTCTTGATGTAAGGTTCTTTCTTATACCTAGTTTTGTTTCTCTAGACAACTCAACCTAGCCCACTAACTAGGTGTATTTATTTTTCTTTTAGAAATATAGAAACAGAAAAGATTTTTTTCTTAATCTTACACATATAAGAGTAGATTAATAGATGATTTTTTAAATCTTTAAGATAAAACCAAAGGGTTGTCAGTTTGCTTTTTCATAATGACCTAAAAGAAGATCAGAAGAATAAAAACTAGCTGCTGTTGAGTCAGCTCTGGTTCGTGATGACCACATGTGTCAGAGGAAGGTTTTCAATCGCGGCTTTCAAGAAGCGGATCACCAGGCCTTTCTTTCGAGGCTCCTCTAGGTGAGCGGAAGCCCCAGCTCTGGGTTAGGGACTAGGCTGCTAGTCTCAAGGTCAGTGATTGAAGTCCACTAGCCACTCTGTGGGCTGCTCCTGTAACAACTGACAGTCTCAGAAATCCTATGTCATGGCACTAAAGGACTTGATGGCAATGGGATAGGTACACTGGGGTCTCCAACCTCTTGGTCAGAAGCTGTGTGTTAACAGTTTGTACCAACTAAGGACATTGATTAGAAAAATAAAACTAAGAACTGATTGTCATTGAACTGATTCTAACTGACAGTAACCTTATGTTACAGAATCCCACAACAAATGCTTACTTCTAAAAAGGATGTTTTTACCCAACCCAACCAAACCCATTGCTAACAAATTGATATCAACTCATAGTGACTCTACATAGGATTTCAAAAGCTATAAATATTTATATTAGCAGATGGCCTAATCTCCCCCCCCCCCAAAGAAGTTGATGGGTTTGAACTGCTGACCTTGTGGTTTGCAGTCCATCGCTTACCTAATCAAGTCTATTCTAATTCACAGCGACCCTATAGAACAGAGTAGACCTGCCTCTGTGGATTTCCAAGACTGTATATCTTTATGGGAATAGAAAGCCTCATCTTTCTCCTTCGAAGCAGCTGGTTGGTTTCAAACTACTGACCTTGTGATTGGAAGCTCATTATGTAATCCACCATACCACTAGAGCTCCTTCAGATTAACGCTGCCATCAAATTGATTCTGACATACAGTGAGGAGTGACCTTATAGAGAGCAGAATGGAATGTCGCTCCGTTCTGTGCTATTCTCACAACAGTAGGTATAATTGAGTCCATTTCCTGGAAGGTCTTTCTTTTTTCTCACTGATTCTCTACGTCATCAACCATAATGCCCTTCTCTGGGGACTGGCTGCTCCTGATAATATGTCCAAAGTAGTGGGATGAAGTCTCAACATCCTTGCAAAGGATGTCGAGTATGCTATAGGCAGGCAGAAAAAGTAGAGGAGGAAAACAGTCTTTGAAGAATGCTTTTCAAATGTTTTGAGAACGATGATGGCAACAAATGTACAAATGTGCTTGACACAATGGATGGATGGATGGATGGATGGATGGATGGATGGATTGATTGTGATAAGAGTTGTACGAGCCCCCATAAAATGATTTTTAAAAAAAGAAGAATGCTTTTGAGAAGCAAGGAGAGCAAGATTTCATTTTGCTTATTTTGCTTAAACTTGCTATCTGGGTGGGAAGTCATATGACTACACTAACACTTTCCTCAAGGGAAACCAAAGTTTAACCAGTTGTGTGTTCAATTGGTGTGTGGACAAATATGAAACTCCTTTTGTGACTAAACAAAAGATATATACCTCGTCATTCCAAAGTCCGAAATTTTTACAATACACGTAGAACTGACCAAACAATTCCTTGCCGCCTATAAAAAAGAAGAAAACAACACAAATTTGAAGCCAAGTTTTTTCTCCAGATTTTCTGTTCTCCTTTTCCTTAGTTTCTTTAAGCCTCCCACTGCCTCTCAGGTGGGTCAAGCTATTTTGATGGCGAAACCTGCCCAAACGACCTATGATTCAATAGCCCGTCTTCACTTGATAAAGTTTCATTAGTTTCAAAGAAAGGTTACTATTTTTGCTTTAAAGAATTTGTTAACTTTGCTAAGAAGTACCTATGTTAAATATGAAGGGTCTTTAAAAAGTTCATGGAACAAATGGAATTGAAGATGTAAATTGAGCGTGCAGATTTCATTTCTCAATAAAAGCTCCATCAAATTGAAGACAGTTGTAAGTGATGATAACCACCATTTAGCCCATTCCTAGAATATGGAGGATTCTGAGAATTTAACCATGCTAATACCATCTATTTTTATATTGTTAACTGAAGGAAAGTAGGCATCCTTTAAATATCTTCTAAAATGAAGAAATAAAAAGATGTCAGAGGAGTCAAATCAAGACTTTAAGGCGGATGCCTAATGATTTCACATAGAAACTCTTATAATATTCTCATGTTCAGTGAGAGGAATGAGCAGAAACATTGCTGTGGTAGAGAAGAACTCTCCGATAAAGTTTTCCACATATTTTTCTGCTAAAGCATTGGCTAACTTTCTCAAAACCCTCCTAGTGAGCAGACTCCTGGCCCTTCCAGGAAGTCCACAAGCACAGTGCCTTGAAAACCCATCTCCCCCAAGTCAATTCCAATTCACAGCGACCCTGTAGGAAAGAGCACAGCTTCTCCTGAGAGTTTCCCGGACTATAAATCTTTATGGGAGCAGAAAGCCTCATCTTTTTCACATGGAATGGCCCGTTGGTTGGAAGTGCTGATCTTACTGTTACAGTCCAATCCCTAACCCACACCATCATCAGGATTTCAGGCCTTGGCCATTCCAAAAAATTGTGGTTGTGACCTTTGCTCTTAACCAGTCCACTTTTGCTTTACTTACAGTAATATTTCCACATTTCTTAAAAATATCATGCTGAACTAAATATGGTACTACAACTACTCCTCACTTATTATCTACATTGCTTTTGAAATTCCATACTTACAACAATAGTAAAATCAAATCTACTATTTAACTACTTTGTGCATTAAAAATGTATGTCTGGCATTAGCAAATGCTAAGGTGCCAGAAAAGAGTGATGCTGGCTCTAGTCTCAAACCCAAAGTATTAAGGTTGTGTCAATTTTTCTGGTCCAGGATTCTCGGTGGTTTGCCAATTATGTAATGTTGTACTTTGGCAGTTCTGTAATGATAGAGTTATACTGCATTTTGGGATCTTGATGTGGCCTTCCCCCATTTTTTCATAGTATCAATTTTCACATAAAGACCTGGTCTTTGAAACCATGTCAATAAGTGAGGAGTGGGTGTATATACTGAAGAGGCAATCTATTTGACGCCCAAATTACCTATTTTCACTCAACTTGGTTTAGAAAGGTAATTGACTGCATTTTTAGTCTCATGTGATCAACTGCTTAACAGAAATTTCCTCTTTCCAACCACGTTGTGGTTCCATTAGTGTAGTGTGGCAGGACACACACTCTCTGCCTTCATATTCCTGTTGACAAGCCACATGGAGCCACGCTGATGGCAGCCAGGGCCCTGGAGCTGGAGGAGTCACATGGAGATCCACGCCAGTGCATGTTCTGTGTGAGTCTAAAGAGGAATTTGTGGACTAATATCGGACATATGGGCTAATAGCTGAACTGGGCTGAGATGTTTTCTCAATATACAATTGCTCTTTGATATAAAGCTCTCTTTTTACACACATATAAGTCTCTGGATTTGTTTCTCTTGTCAACCCCCACCTAACATATGTAGCAACAAAAACAAGAAGCAAGAAATGATAAGCCAGGCTGGAAGATGCCAGAATGTTCTGGCTATGCTCTCAAAGCCAAACCATGATACAAGTCCTTGACTGAGAAAGAACTCATTGTTGGCTTATGTATTGTAAGAGGTATGTAAATGGATAAACTAAAACACAAAATGAAGTAATAAAGAAAGAATCCAACGATAGGATAGACCAGGGGTGCTCAATACGTTGATCGCGATCTACTAGTCAATCGCAAATGTAGTGTGGGGAGATCACATGGCATTAAAAAAATAGACCTAAGCCTATCATCAATCCTGTCACTTAAATGATATAAAACACTGCCAATCAGATGAAATCTTAGGTGTCAAATGCATGCACAAACAACTGCGCTAAGTGCAGCAAAACTGACAAGCTAAGTTATTGCCAAGTTTTAGACCTTGGTTTTTTTCTCTTAAACATAAGAAAGGGTATTAAAATGAGTGGGGGAGCTGGGCCAAGTAAGAAGACAAAAACGTATCACTTTCATATGGAGTGGGAGATTTTGGCACTACAAGCCGACATTCAGCTGAAGTCCAGAGAGCATGAACAGTTCTGGAACTTACTCGCAGAGGGAAAGGACCCAAACATGAGAAAATGTGCTACCTCCTTGACTGCATTATTCAGCTCTACTTATTCATGTGAGTCAGGCTTTTCCCACATAAAGATCACTAAGTCCAGGCACCGTTCCACCCTGACCAATGATCATTTGGAAGTCTGTTTGAGGCTGGCTGTCAGCAGCTACTGTCCGGACTATGCATCCCTGGCTCATTCCATTCAGTGCAAGTCATCAGAGTAAACTGAGGTAATGACAAAAAAATATACATAGTTCATTGTGTTGTGTTGTGCAATAGGGACTCGTGCAGTTATGCAAGGTACATAAACATACATTGTACATATAAAGAATTCTCAATGGATTTATGAATAAATGTAATAAATACATAAAAATAAATGTTTTGGTAGTTGGTAGATCATTTTGACTTGATCATTTTATAAGTAGCTCACATGCTGAAAAAGTGTGAACACCCCTGGGATAGGCTATGAGGAACCACTTTGAGCAAATAAAACTTCTAACACTGTCTCCTGGCTGTGTCGTGAATTCTAATCCTTAGCGGGAAAGACAAAAACCACAGTGAGTAGGAAAGTGACCTAGATGGAAATGATACCCTCTCCCTCCACTTAGAATTCTAACAACAACCCTCCATTTAGAAATCTTCTCAGTAACTGGACACTAGCAATGTATTATGAAGAAAGAAAAACATTAATCTATGTGATACCAGTAGCTAACATTGCTGAGTACTTCTGTGTCCCAGGCACTGTTTTAAGTGATTACGTATATTAACTAATATGATCCTTCCAGCACATTTATATGTAGGAGATACTATAATTAATGTCACTTAACTAATTAAGGGAGAGAGACAAGGCTTTCTACTCCTATAAAGAGGTACGATCTCAGAAACCTACAGGGGAAGTTCAACCCTGTCCTATTGACTCAATGGCATTGAGATTTTTTAGTTACTACATAAAGTGCCAAAGGTCACATACTGAAGTGAACTATTTATTATACATCTTCTAGCGACAGTCTTTAAAATCCCCACCAATTTACTTTTTCCTGATGACTCTGAATAAGGGAACGGAAAAGGAAATGCAGCTAAGATTATATCACTCAGTTCTGAGTGGTTGTTAACAGGGTAGTTGTGATTGTCATCCTGCTGGGTACAAAGCCAGCTGTCATATCAAGAAAGAAGAGCTTGGAGTGGAGACCATTCTTTGGATCCAGAGAACCCTGTGCGTTCAACCTCCTCAGTCCAGAGACGGAAAGCTGTGGGACACAGGAGAAGCAGCAGAGGAGAACCAGCACATGAGTTAGGACAGTGGGCTTCTTGGCCCACGCAAGGAGTAAAGCCGAGGGTTTTTAAGCAGAAGGTTGCTTGCGGAATAGGATACCTCCAGACACTTTATTGGGGGAATCTAGGTTTGTCGACCCAAGGAGCAAGAGGTGAGCACCTTTGGGCTGAGACTTTAGGATTGTATTGATTAGGAGCCTTTACAGGCGATTGTAGCATTGCCTGAGCAGGCCAGGTCAGATCAAGTGTATGATGGCCATAGAGGCCTGCCTGCCTTTCTACATGGCAGTGCCGAGGCTGCCTAGAACTGGATAACTTTCCTAATACCCCCCACGGTTGTTAGTATTGTCTGTGAGTTCTTTGTAGCCATTGTACTGTATTATTAAACACAGCTGAGAAGCTGAGCGAGCTGTGGAAGGGACAGTTGGTACCATATTGTTAAGAGGGGTGGAGGATAGAGGCTGTCTCACTCCTGCCTCAAAGGAATTGGCCTTGCGTGCTGATGTTGTTTGTTTCTCCCTCCCCCTTGTAAAGACAGAGGAGGTCAGACACTGTCCCGACTGTTTTTCTACATATTGCTAGAAAACCCACAGGCAAGATAGGAACATAGGCAGTGTAGCTCTAAAGCAGTGGTTCTCAACTTTGACTGCACATTAGATTCACCAGGAAATTTTTCAGAAAACATTGATGAATAAATTCTACTCACACAGATATCGATGGAATCGGTTTGGGGTATGGTCTGGGTTTTGGAATTTTAATAAAGCTGCCCATGGAATTTCAAAAACCGTGACTGTACAACCTGCTTTAAGTGCTGTGTTTAACACTGTGTTGCAGCTCAGAAGTCTAAGCTCTGGTCTCGAGGAGTGGAGAGACTGATTTTTGTGTAAACAACATCAACTAGCACACGAAGAAACCAATAAACGCATGAGAGTTCTACGTCGTGCACAGGGTAAGCATACTTCCCAATGGTATGCTGAGGCCAGTGGAACGAACAACAGTATTTCCTTTTTCTTCCCCAAATATTCCAGTTTGGATGCAAAATAATGAGGTCAGCTAGGCATGTATGACAAAGCAGTGGGTCACATCTACACAAGAGTCTCAGAGAACTTTCACAGACTTTCACACTCCCTTTTGAGTTGGTTTTTGGATGGAAAAAAAAAGAAATGTGGAAGGACACAGAAGGAACAGGATTATCATGAATAAATACCGAATGGACATTGTTACCAGGGGCGGGTGACAAGACAGGGAAGCAGAGTTATTAGCCTTTGGGGCAAGATTAGCAATTCCATACTGCCGTGATCTAGCATTTCCACTCCTCCCCCCATAACACCCACAGTGGACTCCCCAAGCTCTCAGAGCCAAATCACTACCACATGGGGCAGTTTCTCTCCTGGTCAAAAATAAATAAATGAACTCCCGGCCACCGAGCCAATACAGACTCATAGTGACCATATAGGACAGGGAAGAGCCATCCCCGTGGGCCTCCAAGGCTGTAGCTCTTATGGGAGTAAAAAGCCCCGTCTTTCTCCTGCTAAGAACCACTAGGGCTTGTTTTTTACTATTAGATATTCAGTGTCAAGCAGATTGCTTTGCACTCAATACATATTTGATTTTTGGGTGAGAGAAAGAAAGGAAGATAAAAGGAAGGCATCAAAGAAGGAAGAGAAGAAGAAGGAAGAAAACAGGTGCTTGCTTAAGTGATTACTGAGAGATCAGGTAAAACCTGACTTGGCTCCAGTATCAATGGACAGTGCCCAAAAATAAAAATGTTACCTGTCTTAACAAGTTGCCTGGGTGGGAAAATGTTTAAAAAGCTTGCCAAAGGACATATTATTAATGTATTAGAACGATCATTTTAATAATGGTCCTTTTACCACACTTAGCTTTTTATCGTAATGACCACTTGCTTCTGACTATGAGGAAAAGCCATGGAATCATAAGTGCAGTTGCACCATACTTACTAAATCCCGGTGAATAAAGCTGTTTTTCTCCAGATACGCCATGCCTTCACAGACATCCTGGCACACGCTCAGCAGCACCTCCTTGCTGAGCCTTCCTCTTCTCGCCCTGAGGTAGGTGAGCAGGCAGCCGTGCTCCATAAACTCTGTGACAATATAAAGGGGCTTGTGCTGTATACACACTCCATACAGCTGCACCAGCCGTGAATGCGATAGCTTCCTGTCGGAGAAAAACACCGACCAGTGAGCAGAAGAGGTGTTTTGTTTTGTTCTGTTCTTGTTTTTCACTTTAAAGGGTCGGACTCGACGGGCACTAGTTACTACCTATCTATCAAATGCATCATCAAGAGATCATAAGAAAGAAAATCAACCTGTTTCCTTTCCAATTTATTCAAAGAGAAACTGGAGTCAATAGCTTTATTTATTTTATATTGTTAACAGTTTTGTTGGCATTTCATCGGCATGTCTTATCATTAAATAGTTCACTCACCTCAAGGAGAGTTGTACAATCTTTACCACAGTTTGAGAACAGTTCTTCTTCCTTGTACTCATTGTTATTTGTGTAATTATTTTAAATTGTGGCAAAAAATATACACAACAAAACGTCCAATTCAACAACTTCTGCATGTATAATTCAGTGACATTGATGACACTCTTCCTGTCGTGCAACCATTATTGATGCCCTTTTCCAAATGATTCCACCACCATTCACTTAAACTCAATGCCCCCAAACCAAAACCCTTCCTCCTTCATCATAGTAACCATCGGTAAAGTTTGGTTTCTTCCTTCTTTTTTTAAAAAAGTGATTTTCTTGTTCTAATATTCCCATATCATATACTTCCATAGTTAAAGAGAGGCCAAGACCTTCAGTAGTAATTTAGCACCCTATCACTTGACCTCCCTTATGATCCACCTAAATTGGCTTTTTAATGTCTTACGCTGCTCTTCCTGTTAGTCATTTTGTTTGTTTTTTCATGTTTTCCTGTATTTGAAATCCAGAATAGGTAAACCTACAGAGACAGTTACTGGAATCATGGTTCCTTGGGGGTACGGCAGCAGAGGTTGGGGGCAAGTGGGGAGCTAATAATGAGAAATAGAAGAATAATGAAGACAATGTTCTAAAACTGATTGTGGTATTGATTGTACAACTCTTCTTGATGTGATCAAACACTTGAATTTTATGATATGTGAATGATATGCCAATAAAACTGTTGAAAAAAGAGACCTTTGGTAATACTTCCAAAGTCAATGGAGATACACGAGATTATTTTTCTTGGTTGACATCAGGTGGGAGCTGAGTCTTGGTGACCTTGTGAAAAAGAATACAGCGTTGCCCGTCCTGGGCCATCCTCGTGATCGCGGCCGTGTCCGCGCCCATTGCTGCAGGTGTTGTGCTAACATTCAAGCTTGAGTTCCTTCCTCATTTGCCTTTTGTTTCCTCAGTGCTGCTCCTCCGCGGCCAAGGCTCACAGATTTGCTAGCCTCAAGCCCCAGCCTTCCTAATGGTCTCTGCTCAGACAAAGGTGTCTGCAGGCAGGAGGGAAGAGAGAGCGGTGGCTGCTGATCACCAGGAAAGAGAAAACCTGAACAGCAAACTCCTCATACGAGCATTTTCGGATAAAACTGAAGATTGAAAAGCGTTTGCTAAAATTTCTGATAAAACTGAAGATTGAAAAGCGTTTGCTAAAATGAAATGGTGCTTTGCATTTACTTATGAAGTCTCTCTCTCTTTCTCTCTCTCTCTCTCACACACACTCTCCCTTAAACCATTGCCTATACAAAATATAACCTTTTAATCATCTGGACTTCAAAAGGTCATTGTTGGTGCTATGGAATATAATATTTAATCTCTAAAGGCCTTCTATGCCAACGAGTTATGAAAAACAATATTGAAATGAATGCTTGTAATTTTAGAATATTAATATATATAATATATATAACTTCATATATATATATATTCCATTTTATTAGTCAAAAGTTGCATGAAGTAAAATAAAATTAAAATTAGTGCCCGTGGATCTGCATGGGAGACTACGCTGGTGAATGGGGAGGAAGGCATTCAGGGAATATGAACATGATTTTAATTTGGACACAGGTGCCCGTGTCTGATTTTCCTCATTTAGAAAGTGGGCTTTCAGTTGAGGGTTGAGGTTGACAATGGCAGGAAACCAGGTCTTGCAATGCGAGACTGCCTTGCCATGGAAAATCCACATGATACCCCCATGTAAGCAACGGAGAACTGGCACCTTCTATTGCATTTGCTTTGTAAGACTCCTGGCAAAGTTCAGTCAGATTATGGTTTAAAAAGGAAAAATAGAAAACCCTTATAGAGGTGGCTCAGACTAACAAGCAAGATGAAGACGTCTTATTTGCATTGAAAGATGCAAATTCATATGCATTCACTTGCCTAGATTCATACGACCTCCCCACCCCAACCCCCCACCCCAATTTAGAGAAGTGTAGATGCTTCACTCTAGGGAAAGCACAGCACATTTATTTAACTTTCTTACTCAAATATTCCCAGCTTCTCTGTGGCCTTCTCCTTTTCTAATGTTTCTCTGTCTTTCACTAGGTGCTCTCCAGGGCCAAGGTTTTAAATGTCATCCAGTGGGATCACTCTCATCTTCCATCCTGACCTCTCTGCTGAACTCCAGACTCATATTGACCAGACCAGTCAACCATACTTGGCTTTCTAATAAGCCTCTGTGATAGTTATATTTATTTTGTGCCAATATGGCACCTGTAAGAAGATATAAGTGGAATTTACCCTGTGAATCAGGTCCAGCTTGATGACCTCCTTGGAGGCGGGACCGAGATAAATGGCTCTCTGGAGGCTGCCCATTCCCTCATGCCCCTCTCTCCGTTCACTTTCCTCCTGGTGAGCCGCTCTGAGACCTGCTAGAACCACCATCATTGGATCCACAAGACTGTACCTACTGGCCTGTGATGTCCCCGCACCCTGTATCTTTCTTTCATATTCTGGGAGGTCTTCATGAGGCTTTGCTGCTGTTGTTGGGTGTCATTGGGTCAGTTCCAACCCATAGCGACCCTAAGCCCAACAGAATGAAACCATGCCTGGCCCTGGACCACCCTCACAATGTTCTTATGCTTGAGTCCATAGTTGCAGCCATGATGTCGATCCATCTCATTGAGGGCCTTCCTCTTTATCACTGTCCCTCCACGTTACCGAATAGGATGTCCTTCTCCAGGGACTGGTCTCTCCTGACATATCCAAGTATGTAAGATAAAGCTTTGCCATCCTTGCCTCTAAGGAGCACTCTGGCTATACTTCTTCCCATACAAACAAGTTTGTCTTTTTAGCACTCCATGATACTTTCAATATTCTTCTCCAAAACCAGTTTAACTTCATTGATTCTTCTTTGATTTTCTTTTTTAAACATTTTATTAGGGGCTCATACAACTGTTATTGCAATCCATACACACATCAATTGTGTAAAGCATATTTGTACATCATTCTCAAAACATTTTCTCTCCACTTAAACCCACGACATTAGGTCCTCATTTTTCCCCTCCCTCCCCGCTCCCCCCTCCCGCATGAGCCCTTGATAGTTTATAAATTGGTATT